AGTAAAGTAAAGCTGTCCCACTATACGCCATGTAGGTCGTTTGGGGGGGGGGGGGGGGGGGGGGGACGGGGTATAGCTCCTACTCATAAATTCCTGATACAGGCCAAATTTCAGGTTCTAAAGGCTTCGTGTATGAAGATGACAGCCTTCTGGGATATCGCGAGACAATATGGCGCAATATGCCAGAAGACTCATCAACTCTGGTGTAGGTCAAATGAAGAAACAAACAGCCTATGTGAACATTTTGTATGTGTAGATTTAATACGGCAAGAGAGGATGGGACATTTACAACCTGTTCAAGAGTTTGCAGATACACTGATGTAGAGTTCTCAAACTTTTTAGATCGAGGGAAACATTTACACCTTTATTACATATTTGAAATGACGACCGTTAGTTTCGTAGCAGAGTTGATCGATTACAAGGTTGATATTTCGTATTAAAATGTGTGTAAATATTTTTGGGACAACCTGTATTAACGTAAAACTGCATATGTTGTGTCGAGACAAGAGTAAATGAGGACGCGAGAAAGCGCCGAATAAACAACATCAGCTCTGTTTTCTTTGCCGTTGATGGTCATTGTCGCTGTCGTCCCGGAATTCTGTTATGGAGGGTTTTGCTTTAAATTGGACACACTGGATATTTTGTTTTTCTACTAGTAATGCGAACAGAGCACAACGTTTCTTAAACTGGGTCTGTTCCCATTCTCAGTTGAAAAGGTACTCAGTACCTAAGTGCTCACTTGGGTCCGTTAAAAACAGCTTATCTGAAATATTTGTGTCCTGTAGTTGACATCAGCTCTTTACAGCGAACCCAACTGAGGAGGTAGCTGCTTCTCGTCCCTTCACCTGAAGACGAATATGGACAATTTCAAGAATGTCTCTTTTTTCAATACCAGAAACTTATTAGGCTCATAATTACTTACTGTAGTATATAATTGCCAGACCCCTTTACAACGAAGACGGCAGAAGCCATGACACTTTTCCTACCTGAACTACAGAACAATGTGAAAACCATGTCCAACCCATTGGGAAACTTATTCTTATGAATTTGGTTTTTCGAAAAGAAAAGAATTCTCAGTCCCACTACAGGACAGGCGGGGAAAAGCGTTGGCTGTTTAGATGGTTGGGCTGAGTTCTTCGGCGTGCTGTATTTTGAAAGCCAGATTTTAATGTAAGTAGAAGATTGGCGCAGACGTACAGAATTCCGAACCACGTATGTTTCGACTTGAGGAAACTGTGAGACGCACTTCTCTGTTAAGGGAGGGAAATCAGCGCCCAACTTATTTCTGTAGACCTTGTGAAAGACAAAACAGCTCACTGTATTTTGTTAGTTTTGAAGTATTTATTTTATAATCATGTAAAGAATGGTTGATCTAACTTATAGTATACAGGTACTTAGGTAAACAAACATGAACCGCAATTTTATGGGAATCAGCCATTTTGTGTCATTTTTAAATAATACGGCAGCACATTATGTCTTATTTTAATTTATTTCTGTTTCCGTGTGTTTATTGGAACAGAAATTGTTACTAACACGCAATGGATTTTAGAAGCATCAATTTTTAAAAATAGATTATACAGTCTGTTCACGCGCAGATGTTGCAAGTGCGAACAGAGTGGACATTTTCAATTCATTGTACATACCTTCCTGATCAACATTGACATCGAAGATTTTTCTGTCTTCTGGGTTGTTGCGCTGTGTAGTCTGGTCGATGTTAACCAACGTTTCAGAGGTCATACTGCGATGAATTCATCGCCCTGATGACGGAGGCAGTATGACCTCTGAAACGTCGGTTAACATCGACCCTACTACACAGCGCAACAACCCAGAAGACGGAAATCTTCATACTCACCGCCCTGATGATGGAGGCAGTATGACCTCTGAAACGTCGGTTAACATCGACCCTACTACACAGCGCAACAACCCAGAAGACGGAAATCTTCATACTCACCGCCCTGATGATGGAGGCAGTATGACCTCTGAAACGTCGGTTAACATCGACCCTACTACACAGCGCAACAACCCAGAAGACGGAAATCTTCATACTCACCGCCCTGATGATGGAGGCAGTATGACCTCTGAAACGTCGGTTAACATCGACCCTACTACACAGCGCAACAACCCAGAAGACGGAAATCTTCATACTCACCGCCCTGATGATGGAGGCAGTATGACCTCTGAAACGTCGGTTAACATCGACCCTACTACACAGCGCAACAACCCAGAAGACAGAAATCTTCATACTCACCGCTGTGAGAACCTCAAATCTTACAACATTAACATCCGGAGTTTTGTTTTATTTTAAACTGAATGTTACTTATTCCTCACCTACTTAAACGAGAAATACGTCGTAAAACTAATTTCCATACCTTGTTATAAGTACACCGACTTAAGTCAAGATGGCGGCTGGTGTATCTTTTTGGTCGTCACCATCTATTTCTTCTTCATAGATTTTCGACCCCAATTGTTCGTCTATAAGTTGTCTTTTGGGGGGGGGGTTCTTTTTCTCTTCCGGTTTGTGTTGCTGCGTAGTTTGCGACCTATTTCTGCCCATCACTCTGCTCAATGTAGCCAGTTTCTTTCATAATCACCGTAGTGTAATGACTGTTCTGCTCTTCAGGTTTCCTTCGTATTTTTACGCACTTTGTAAGAAGTGTTACGAGACTGTGGCCAATAACATTGCGTTTTGAATATAAAGTATTTGTTGATTGATTGCTATGCTTGATTATCAGTGACGTAAATTCCAATTCAGATGACGTAGGTTACATTTGCTTGGCGAATTACTGCAATAAATTGAAAGAATTAAAAGTGAAAAGAATTATTCTGGCTTTGAGCATGGTATTTCATTATCCACTTGTTTCTAGGGACGGAATTAATGCGAAATGCACCGTACATTTCGTATAAAATAGTGCATTTATGTGTTCTTCGCACTATGTGTATAGGGCTGATCGATCATGTCGATCTACCTGTTCGCATGTTTCAATTGGAGACCACTGGGCAGATATTAGTGATATCTGGTACGAAAATTATGCCATTGAGGCTACCCTAACCTTGTAATTTTCTAGTTTCCTACAAACGATAGCGACAACATATTAAACGTATCAGTTTGTGAAGTGTATATGACACAAACGTGAATAGGTTAGAGTCCTGAAATATTGTATGGTAATAGACCGTTGAAAATATATGCAATTTTCAAGGCATTTCTTTTCTAAAATGCAAAAGGAACAATATGGCGACCATGCGAACATTTTCTTTAGCTCTCAGTTTGCCAGATATAGCTAATGAATCATCGCATTTAGGAGTATGAAATTTTGTGTGGAGACATCAAAAGCATACCTGTAAATATTGTTTGTAAGTTACAAACATGATGATAATGCAAATATTTCAGGTCCGTCAAATGTTATTATTATTAAATTCTTTTAGTAATGATAACAAAATCCCTAACAATATTATTAACATTCTATAAGCTATTTACGATTTTAAGCAATAATAAAATTTGACTCTGTTGTAGTCGTATTATCATTAGCGCATGCGCACAGAATACCAGGTGATTGGCTACATTGCCTCGTAAGAGGTAATATGCAAAGGTAATCAATGGACACATACACTGATACGCCCGGTGAATGAATGTGTGTATAATTCTTTTTCTTTCTGCACAAGGATTTGGTTGTTAGAGGGCAAAGTACTCCCCGTAGCAAGAATCATTCATGTCGAAGAATGAAATACTACAGAAAGCGAATATGGCTGTCTTCTGAATTTTGCTCCGTGTAGTTTGCTGGAAGTTTACCGACGTTTTAGAGGTGCTTGGTGCCACTACCTTCAAGGAGATCATCGCCCAAGTACTCTTCGAACGTCGGTAAACTTCGTATTTCTGAAGGCGAATACCTGCCGTGCCGTCCCGTTGCTTATACCAAGCCGTATGGAACCGAGCCAAATTTCACTACCGATGAGTTCAGACGTCAAGTAAAATGACGCGGGCAGTAGCAGAATGAACTTTTCAGAAAAGAGGGTAAGACGAGGAAATGTGTACCGCTCATTAACAGGGCAGTATGATCCAAGCCGCAGGAGTTAGGATCAAATATCATTGTATAACTGCTTTATTTTATTTTATTTCCTAAGATTTAATCTGCGATCGCTCATAGGTTGTATTGTTTCAGAATCGCCTGGTCCTAAGTTAGCGACCCTTGCATTTCCGACAAACTATCAAGCAACTCGAAATACCTTGGAGTGCCTCACTGCATAGGTGCAGCCTACTTTACCTTAGTTTGCTTGTAACTGAAAGGTCAGTCTCCCCCTTGCTGTGTTATTGTGAAATACCCAGTCTTTCACGAATTCTTCTCTTCCATAGCAGGCTGTTTTAATGAATCGTTTGAAAGAAAATACCTGCAAATTTAAACCAATATTCATTCTATAAGGGCTATCCTTTGTTGAGAATATAGATGATCTATGGTTCTAATATAGCTAAGGCAGGTAAAGAGGAGTCGCAGCTGCAGACTGGTCGGAGTCAGTGGCCGACTGTAAGATTTACGGAGTTATTCCCAAGATTCTTTACTTCCTGGTTTGTTTAATAACGCTGTGTCAACAATAGTGGTTATTTATCATTGGATGGACTGAGAAGATCATGTTATAAAATGATTTAAAACCACTGGAAATAAGTGATGTTTAATTAGGCTTAGTTCAAGACGTTAACCTGCTGTCGTCTGGAATTTCGATAGAAAACCTCGACGTAGACGTGATCCGAAACTGATACCTGTCGGGCATGTCAGATATTACGTATCCTGCCCCCACCTAATAAAATACATCCGTTGCATTGATCATGTTATACAAGTCCGTCTGCCTGTGTCAACTAAAACTCAACACGTACAGAGCCAAATTAACATACTTGAACTTTTTGATCAAAATTGGATTGAGCATCAATTATGTATGTATGTTAAAAACAGACCAGGGTGAAATTCTTATCGACTCTTTCGACTGACAATGTATCTGATTCTCATTCTCAGTACGTTCCTCCGAAACGTTGGTGTCTACCTACAACTGCTCACGACGCTAAAACCCAGAAGACCAACCATCTTCGCCACCGTTATAACATCAAATCTGAGACCGTACGAATGTTGCAACCCGCATATGAAATCAAGGTAAGCCTAACTGTAAACTACGAATAATAGGCCCTATTATAGTTTGTTGTACGTAGATGGGAAAAAATTGAAATATGCATGCTATTAAAAGGAAAACACTTTTGTCTCATTTTTAACGTTCTGATTTAGAGTCTTTGTCCAAAGACTAGCAATCCTGACTGTGGATTTTGTAATTACTTCCAGGCAAAGGTTGGCACTGTACCTCAAAGTGTGCGATATTCACTTTCTTCCACATCCTTTCCAACTAAGTCAGAACCATCTGTCCATTTAACGAACCTGGTACACATTTTCTTCTACTAAGAAAGAGTACTTAAGAAGTCAAATATGTCGGTGTTTAGCTTAACAGCGATAGGTTTTTATGAATATTTCAAATTTCCTCAAGGTAATTCAGCATTATGTAAGATGTGTTACTTCACAGTTTCATGGTGCAACTTCAAACTCTTTTCCTGTCTATGTACGGTTAGGGGAGAAATTGTGAGATTTCAGGTTTTCACGGCGGTGAGCCTTATAGTTTGGTAGACATTCACCAACTCTTCAGAGGTATTAGCTGCCTCCATTATTAGGGCAATCGCACTGATGATAGAGGCAGTAAGCACCTCTTGAAACATCGGTAATTTTGTACCAAATCTCACTGTGCAACATTCCAGAGGACAGCCATGTATTTTGTATTTACTTGTCACTCAGTAATGTGATTAAGGCACGCGGCCTAAATTCCTGGGGAAGAAATAAACTCATACATAATTATGGCTGGAATGGCTCTTAAGAAGAGACCAGCTGCAAGACCTAAGACTAGGTGGAAGGTTGATATACCGTGGAGAAACATGTGGTTACTTCAACAGGATGCAAGTTGTCTGAAACTGATTTTCTTAGCCGTTTAGCTGTAACCTTCTGATTTCATAACATCAAGTAATTTCGGGGGCATGGCCTAAGTAAGCAAGATAACTAAATCCAGGCTGGACGACCGGGGTTTGAGTTCTGACATGAACATAAATTATTCTTTTTACGACACTCTGTGGACTTCGCAGCTTGCTATGCAGTCGGAACGTTTTCTTCAGGTAGGTTAAAGCGGCCGGAACGTGAAGGTAAGAGCTCTCATGTAATAGTACCCGGGTTTATCAGTTCTTGTGTCAATGATTCATGGATACGGCGATGATTATTATCAGTCTTGTGGAATGCTAGGTTAAGAATGCGTGGATGATCCACTCCTCTGCACCTCCTCATTGCGTGGTGATGAATTAAAAAGAAAACATTGGGGCGCCTTGACTTATATTATTATTTGTATATTTTACTAGAATTGTAGGCTGTAAATGTACTCGTTAGGATGGACTAAAGAGCAAATGAAATTGTAAGCCAGCGTATGATTAACTCTCGGTGTGTAAACTGCGTTACTTGGTAATGGTAATGGAGAAAGTCACGACAGCAGTTTCTTTTATTTGTGCTGTCAACTTAATATCATCATTCCCAGCCCAATCATAGATGATGTCTACAGCTCACGACTATCCAGTTTCAAACTTGTAATACCCACGTGGTGCCGCATTGTCTGTACTTCGTTAGCGTAATATTTATGATCCGTGAAAGTTGACGGGATTGAATAATTTTGAGTTTAATATTATTAAAATGTTTCCAGTATTATCTTTTTTCAAATCTCATTGAAAGTGTAAAATACAATTTCCTGATAAACTAAACTGGATGTTGAAACATCTTTGCGGCGACTGAAACCACATTCTTGTCTTTGCATAACACAAAACTGACTCCACACTCCCACCATAGCTTCATTTGCATTCTTCCTTCCAAAATCACCGTTGTCGGAACGTAGTTCCAAATTCTTCCGCGTTGTACTAAGGGCGCGCTCGTGTAGTTAAGCATGGCGGACATTGGCTATTATATTTGAATTAATCTCATACAGTAACGTACAGAGCGCGGTCAGAATGAAAATCGCTGCTTAATTGGTTAGCAGTTCTGGCTATGTTGTTCATGTTTCTCCATGCACATACCTGAATATAGAATAATGTGTATGAAATTTGAAGCTTTCGAGACAATCGTGTCTAAAACGTCAGGAACCATATTCGTTCTCACAAGGCTTATTGTCCGAAAAGACGAAATTCCTGTAGGTAATTATTCTGTTACCTTTTGCTTTAATTAAATGCGATATAATCTACGCAATTGGCAGGGCATCGTAAACAAACTGAAGACTGCAATGTCTGTCAGTAAAGCCACGACTGTGAAGATTTTAGCGGGATTCAAATTCACGACTTCAGAGCGGCCATGAGCTCCCAGAATCGACTCTTGTTTGTCATGCTGGTGAGACGGGCGAACCGGAGGCTACTGACTGAATACCTGACCGCTTTTTTACGTCGACCGTTTTAGGAGAAGGACGTAGAAATATTAGTGGCAGGCTTGCGGACAACGCTGTTTCATGACGACTACTACCTTCGGAAGAAACATTGACTCTGGCAATAAAGATAAACCACTAAGTTATCAAGTCGTGGAAACTTCTAAATTGAATTAATTACGACATGAATATCGTGATTCAGTGAAAATGTTTAGCTTCTTTCGAAAAATGGAATCTGAGCATCTGAGCAAATACAGAATAAAAACACATTAATACCATATTTACCCTGGCGTGTCAGTCAGCGACTTGACTAAGTATGGGCTGGGGAGTGGGGTTTGATTCTCTGCAGGGTCGGTGGTTCATTTATTCACCACCGCATTCAGACTGGATGTGCGGTCTAGCCTTAATATTAGCCTTCATCAGGGTTAAGCCCTACCAAGTGTATGTGTGTTCTCTCTCACCTCTAATATAAGAATAAGTGGACTTTCATGCCAAAGTCGTACGTAACCCTTCACAGCTTACAGTTTAGGATAATTTTATCTTCATCGCATCAATTTTACCACGTTTTATATTATCAAATACTTCGAAAAAGTGAAAAGTTCAGATGGGACTGTTTTGGAACAATAACCACAGTTGCATTCACAATGAAATGAAGATCAGATTAAATTCAATATTTGCAAGGCATCGCCTTGTTTAAGTCCGTTCTGAATAAATAGTGGATCAGACAAATGTTTACCTCATAGTTATTGTCGTCTCGAATGTTGGGTCGTGTGGTCTGGTATACGTTAGTGGAGGTGTACATTAAGTCAGGATAGTCGGCCTTGGAAATGGAAGCTCCTGAATACGAAGTCATCATACAAGTTGTGAGCCACAAAATCTTCAAGGACACGTGCCAGGGTCCCGGCCCGCATGCAGAACAAAAACGGATGTCTTTATATCACAGCTGCGATAATATTTTTGTTGTATCAGACCATCTCATTTTACCAATAGACCTTACAATTCCAAATTTTGGCCAGAATGGTCTTGGTCGTTGTAAAATTAAGTAGGTCGACTACCTCACTCCTTCCCGCTCCCACAACTAACTAGATGGCTTACGGAACCCAAAGTTTCATCACCGAATTAACTCAAGCCCTTCACCGAACCCTGTCCTGGGCCAACAAAATTCAGTTTCCTTCAACTCCTATCTCCCAATGATCCCGCCTGACATTATCCTCCCATCTACGTCTAGGTGCTCCAGCGGTCTCTTCCTTTCAGGTTTCCCAACTAATACCCGGTGCACACCTCGTCCCATCCATGCGCGCTACATGCCCCGCCCGTCTCATTATTCTTGACTTAATCACCCTGACAATATTGGGGGAGGAGTACAGATTTTTAAGCTCATCATTATGCAGTTTTCTCCGTATACATCGTCTTCTCTCCTATGCCCAAATATCCTCCTCAACACCCTATTCTCAGACACCTGCAGTCTGTGTTCCTCCCTCTGAGTGAGAGACTATGTTTCGCACCCATACAAAACAACAGGTAAGATTATTGTTTTGTATACTTTAATTTTCAGGTTCTTAGAAATCGGACGGGAAGACAAAATATTTTGAACTGAGATGTAGCAAAGCTTTTCCAGAATTTAGTCTCCTGCTAACTTCCTCATGAATAAAATTTTGATTTGTTATTGTTGTTCCCAGATATTTGAACTTTGTAACCCTTTCAAAGGACTTATTAGCTACCCTAAGATAATTTTGCCCGCCTGTCTTCTGATGACGAGATACTAACATGTACTTAGTGTTTTCTGGATTTACTTCTAGCCCCACCTGTCTACTAGCCTCTAGTAAAACGTGTTTTTGACCGAAGGGTCATAAATGTTTTAAAAAATATTGCGAGATGATATGTTTAACTAAGTTATTTTAGATCAAACTAAACATTCAATTGTCAAGTTACTTGAGCAGCGGTTGATTACGTAGTACTTTTCTCTTCACAGAGTCATAGGCTTTTTTGAAATCTATAAATAACTGATGTACGGTCCCACCGAACTCCCATTTTTTCTCTAGTATCTGACAAATGCAAAGATCTGATCAATTGTTGCTTTGTTACGTCTGAACCTACACTGATGATCCCCAATAATTTTATTCGCATATGGGGTTAATCTCGCCAAAAGAATGTTTAATATAATTTTGTACGAGGTTGATAGAAGAGAAATTCCTCGGTAATTACCACACTCAGTCTTGTCCCCCTTCTTATGAATAGGAATAATTATGGTTTCCTTCCATTGTTGTGGCATCTCTCCCTTGTCCCAAATTAACTGAATAAGCTTATGGATCTTCATATGCAACTTTTTGTCATGTGCTTTAATTAATTCTGCTAGAATTTCATCAATACCTGGAGATTTATAATTTTTCAACCTTCCAGTGGCTATTTCACCCTCACCTGAATGAACATTAAGGGCAATAATGTCGCACCAACGCCCTTCCAGAATTATGTAAGACTACCTGTCACTAACAAATTCTACTCTCTTAAGTGCTGCCCTCCCCCATCGTAAAATTAATTATATTTTGATTTTTAACGGTTGTTTGTGATCATTAACGAGCAAAATTATTTTCTGTCCAATAAAGAATGACGTTGGGGATTAAATAGCGGCTTCCGACTTGTATAACAGAATCCTATTTTTAATAGTTTC